TCGATGCTTCATCCAAGCGATCCCTGTTACAAATATCTACTGTCAGAGCTTCAGAACCTTTGCTTGCAAAATCTGTGCCTTCCTCCTCTTTGGGTCTGGTTAGGGATCCTAGGAAAAAGAAAGCCTCAAGCGGGTCTGTACTCCTCGTAGATCCCAAAGTCTCTTACTCACCCCAGAAGCGTTCTTTGAATTTGAGGTCTCTATTTCCCCTTCGCTCAAGGGTGCATTAGATACGAGGATTTTATCGTCATTCCCTCCTTTTGTCTCCTGAACGGCGAAGGCTGTCTATGCCTATTTTAACCCCTCTTGGAAGAAATTAGTGAAAGAGCTTGCCCCTACTTATCTTAAGACCAGTAGATTATGAAACTTATCTCTCACGGGTGAAGGATACGATACTCTCCAGAACAAGATTAAGGAGGTTGAAGGCGAATAGAATAAGTATAACGGAATGAGTAAAAGTGTTGAAGCTTTGCTGCGAAGGAGGTTTCCTTGGTAGCTGATGCCAAGAAGATCTCTTGAATTATGAGTTTGGCCAAGGAAGATCATGTAGCCTATGTTGCAAGGGCATAGCGTGACACTTCGCATGTTGGAGAGAGTTCCAAATGATAAGTCCAAGCAGGAGGCTGTCCTTATGGAACTGGATAACACAAAGAATGAGATAGCTTTGCTTCGCGATATATTGAATAATATGAGACAGAATTAACTGTTGCAGAGTCTAGCCTTTTTGGAGCGGCTGCTCACGAGGCGAATTTGGTTGAGAATGCCATGCAGGAAGGGAGAAATATAGTGCTTGATATTATCATAAACTTTCACCTTAAATGGAATATTGACTTTTTGGAGGCTCACGAGGAAGATACTAAAGACACCCTTTTCTCCTGAGGTTCGACTGTTGGCCTCTAGGGCTCCGAACACTCCATCCATTGTTGCTGATCTCTCTTAACATATTTTCTACGCTATTACAATTTTTTTTTGATAACCGTGAATGTTCGGGTCAGCTTGTATGCACATCGACTAATCCTACGAGGCCTTGAAGTTTACGGCCGGATACTCACCTCAGTGGCCCTGAAAGGATTCGAACTGATGACCACTGGGGAGCAAATTCAAGGCCTGACCAATTGAGCAATCCCTCAAGGTTGTCATGACATTTAATAACAAATGGACGTGACCTCGTCTTTTTTGTTAGTACTTTTCTTTGTGGTGTAAATCAATCCTGATGTAGTGCATCACAACTAGAATTAACAGTTTCACTTTATCTAGGAGTTTTTTTTTT